CTAGGGACCCTGGAGGGGATGGACCGAAGACAGTGACCAAGCCATTTGTCTCGTGCCATCCCTCTCCAGCCTTCCACAAACTTTGGGCAGGGACACCACTCCTACCCCCTGGCTAATACCACTCGATGGACCCAACCTCCATCACTTTATCTATTTTTGACCACACGTTTTCTTTATTTTGTACATCAGGAAGGGGGGCTAGGGAAGGGTAAGTGGAAGGAGGTGAGGGAGGAATGGTGTACGAGCCCCCGATGGGGAGGACTGGGCTGGCTCTACGGGCTTCTGGGGGTGGAAGCTCTCCTGCAGCCCCCCAATTGCTCTCTCTCCCCAGATGGCAGCCTGCGGCAAGTACAGCCGGTCTGATGGCTGAGTGCTGTGATGTGCCCAGTGTGGGCACTCAGGGCACTCCAAGCCAGGACTGCTTTGCAAGCGGGGCACCCCGAGAACTGTCTGTCCGGGGTGGGGGTCAGGTCCCTTTAAGCACAGCCCTTGGCTAGCCTGAGGCAGCAGCTCCACGCTCTAAGTCCTCATCTGATGCCCTGCCAGCACTGCTTCCGGCCATCCTTACCCCGGTTCAGGGTCCATTTAATGTGGACATGCTAGTTCGAATTAGTTTTTTAGTCTGGATACGTTAGTTCGAATTAGCTTAGTTTGAATTAGTTAATTCGAACTAAGTTAGTTCGAATTAGCGCTGTAGTGTAGACATGCCCATATAGAGCTGTGTAAAGAATATGAACAGGATCACAGTCACATCTTGTGCACACACCTGAAGCAAGCAGCACATGCCATGGTGAGTGTATGGGAGTACCTTTCAAACCTTGTGATAGGTGCAGGGCTAGATGTGGAGTCCAGGGTAAATATAGGGATAATGCAGTAAACATTGTTGAACTTTGGCAGTGGGGATCCCGGCAGCTATATTGCTTTCAAGGATGCAAAAAGCCCAGAGAAAGTAGTTGTTTGAGATGGCTTGAGGTAAGGTTGCCTGGGTCTGTACACAGCTGGGTTTTTCACAGGAATCACACCCTTGCTGGAGCTCACTGTAGTGGGTGGAAGAAACCCAGGTGCTCTTCCTAAAAAGGCAAAGGTAAAGATCAGAGTACCTGCTGAAAGTTTCCCCAACATTGTGCCAGAGGACAAAAAGGCTGTCCAGGCCAACGTAAACTGGAAACTCTGCAAGTGGAGGAGAGTGGTGCTAGTTGGCTATTTCAGTCGAAGCCCTCTGAGCCAGCACCAGTTTCGTCTTTCCTGAATCTATGCACAGCAAGCTAATATTTTTTTTGTACTTGGATTTTCATACATGAAAGGCAAAATATTGTGTATATGGTCTAGAAAACCTTCATCTCATAAGCTTACAAGAGCATTTCTACAACATCATGGAGTGAATGGCCAGATATTAGATTACCTGCAAGCATTGTTTTGTATTTTTTATGTATTTATTTTAAATGTTTGGGTGTTTTGTGTATATTTCTTTTCTGGGTTCATTTTTATTTTAAAAACATTCTTTTTTTGAAAGGCTTCTTATCTAAATCTTCTGCCAAAGCATGTGTTTGAGAATGCTTTTGTGGTATCTTATTTATTAGTAGTAGTATGTATGTATGTTTGTATTAATTTTTTACTGTTGCTGACAGTGTGTGCCCTTCAAATAAACCACCTACTATAAAACACAATCCTTTTGTTTTTGTCACATTCATTTTGACAAAGAGATAAGGGACAGAAAAAGAGGAGTGAAGTATTGAGGAGCATAAAGAGAGCTTTAAAAAGTATGCATTAATGGGGACATTAAAATGCACCTAGCTGAGTCCCTGTCCCCTTCCTTGGTGTATTCTGTCAGTGATCCAGCTGCATCTCAAATTGTTCCTGGCTTTGCAGCCTTTATGTCCTCTTCCTCACTGTGCATTTCTGGGGTGTCTTCTACTAGATGTTGTGAGGTGTCCCCTGTCATAAATTGGTAGTGGGGTTCCTGCGACATCAAGCTCTGTGTAGTAGAGGCAGCTGAGGGAGGCAATACCAGACTGGGGTTGCCATCTTTTTAATGACTGGTAACCAGATTAGGGATGTTAGTGTATAGTCGTTTAAATGGTTAACCGATACTCCTGGGCTTATCGGTTAATTCTAATGGCTACATGCACACACATCCTATATCATAGGCAGCAAGGGGTGGGGAGGCAGAAGCTAGTGACCATGGGAAGATGGCTTTTAAGATGGTTTTCCACATGTGCTAGTTACCACGGAGCCAACTTCCCTGCCCTGCTGCCTCTTACAGAGGCAGCAGCATGGGGGCTGAGGGGCAGGCAGGAGCCAGTGCTCAAGGGGAGCCTGCTTAAAAGCTAGCTCCCTATGAGCACCAGATCACACATAGTTGCCTGCCCCCCGCACACTGCCTCTTTATCAGAGGCTGTGGGGTGGGGGAAGCTGGTACTTGTGGGGAGCTGGCTTAAAAGCCGGTTCCCTGAGAGCACTGGCTTCCACCTATCACACCTCACCTTCCTGTTTCCCTTCCCCCGCATAAATGTGTAACTTCTAAAAATTCAAGCAGTTACACCTTTATACAGAAATACGATAGTTAAAAATCCGTTCTGTGAGCCTGGGCAGAGGACACAGATTCAACCAGAGCAGTCCCATGTGAGATTACTGTCAGGACCATTTGTGCCCTTCGCTTTACAGCCCCCAGAATTCGCCTTGGCATCTTCCTCTCTAAAGTGTAGCTACTCAGATCAGGGTGACCCATGGTTTCTGCAAGCTGCAAGTCCCATTTTAAACAGCTGTATTCTCTTCGTTTTTTCTCTTTTTTTTTCCCCCTCCCATTTTGATTAATTCCTGGGAAATGACCAGTTTCTAAGGAATGGCCAGTCCAAGAGCTCAGTGGCAAAAGTTTGCATGCCCTGAAGTAACATAGTTAGAAGGGCCTCATCACATCCTGTGCCAGCCCAGCCATGCTCCTCCATTCCCCAGGAGTGGCGGGAGCTGGGAGTTCGAGAGACTGGAGAAACTGGACAGAGATATGATGTTGGGATACTTGTAATGCTAATGTGTAGAGCTAGTAAGAATGTTAGAGGCTCCTCCACCCTAGGAGCTGCTAGCATGGCCCTCTGGGCTTTTATTCCCTGGCCCCAGTCGCAGAGGTACCCTTATACTTGGAGAAATGGAGTGTCTAAGGCTGGTAGCCCTCCCTTTTATAGGGTGGCGGGGAGGCAGAGAGAGGACTGAAGGAAAGGCACAGAGTGAACACTGACCATGGTCATGTATTTATGGATCACGTTAAGTGACTTGGGATCACAAAATAAAGGCTGGTCTCTTAACATCCCTCCCATGTATTTACACCTATACAGCACAAGGGTCTGAATCTCCCTGTCAAAGAAGTTATCATTATCATATATTATCATTCATAGCCACCTTGAAACGGCCTCTTTGGAATGATTAGTTTCCTCTGAATGGCCTAACAGGGCCTGGTTTGTAATTCGTACTCCTGCAACCAGGAAGCAGACTCTTCTATAGAGGAGGAGAGAGACAGGTTTAAATTTACGTTCAAATAAAAGACAAATTAATAAGTGGCTTCTAAAGAGCTTCTCATTCATTTAAATATGCCTGGAGGTGTAAAAATACACTTCACAATCCTTCCAAATGATAATATTTACTGTTCTGTTGTGCTATAAAATTGTAGTAAATAGTATATAGGGGTGTGTGTGTGCGTGTGTGTGTGTGTGTGTGTGTGTGTAAATATATATACTTATGCATAAATATGCATACTTTGTTGTTCGAAAACAACGAGCAGTCCTGTGGCAACTTAGAGACTAATAAATATATAGGATCATGAGCTTTTGTGGGTAAAACCCACTTCACCAGATGAGTTGGAGTGGAAATAACAGAATCCAAGGTATATACAGTAGTCTTTGGATTCTGTTATTTCCAGGGCTTGATAAAAAATGCAATATACTCGCCTGTGACAAGTAGATTGCAACCCAGAAGAGCCGGGTTCGGGCTATCTGCACATGCGCAGAACGATCTGCGCATGCACAGATCGCCAGACAGCGTGGCTGGCGAGCGGGGCTCGCCGTGGTTCAGTGAGCCCTGGTTGTTTCCACTCTAACGCATCTAATGCAGTGGGTTTTACCCACAAAAGCTCATGATCCTATATATCTGTTAGTCTCTAAGGTGCCACAAGATTTACAGACTAACACAGCTACCTCTCTGACTTTTGCTGTGTGAGTTATTCTTAGGTTAAGAATTATGAGTTATCCAAAGCTGCTTACCTTATCAAGTAGTCAGGAAATTCTTCCCAAAAATGATGATGATGATGATGATATTGTCTGAACTGTCTTCGTTACTAGTAAATTTATTTTGAAGAAAACCCGACAGCAATTTTAGAGACCGTAAAGGGCAAAGAGGTGGTGACCTAGTTCAGTGATGCTAGATAGAAGTGGCTGCCTTAGGGTACATGTATAAAGCAGGGCTAAAGTTGACTTAAGCTACACAAATTCAACTATGTCAATTGCGTAGCTGAAGTCAAAATAGCTTAACTCAGCTTTTGTGCTGTCTATACAGCAGGAAGTTGAAGGAAAAACACTCTTCCTTCAACTTCCCTTAATCCTCGTGAAATGAATCGTGTGAGAAGTCCTCCAGCTTGACATTATTTCTAAATAAAGGCGTGTAGTGTAGACGTGCACTGTGTTATTTTGGAATAACATCAGTTATTCCGAAATAACACTGATGTGTAGACATACGCATAGTGGTGTTGAGTTCCTCCCTCCCCCTTGCATTTAAAAGAAATAAAGAAAAATGTAATAATAATTGCTTTTAATTTTTCAGGCATGCAGCAGCGTTAAGCGTGAAATGACCTTCACTACATTTCAACAGGATGACCTAAAAAGTGACATCAGTCAAAAATTACCAGACCAACAGTTTCTCCTGTTGACCATGAGGGAGGAAGATTTAAAAACTGCAGACACCAAAAAACCAAACAGAATTTATGAGCATGAAAAAGAAAACACTCGTTCTGTCTGTCTTCTTGAACAGAAACGCAAGGTTGTTTCTTCAAATATTGATGTGCCTCCGGCAAGGTAAAGACAAGTTTTAAAAGCATGTTTTGGTTTGTCTCTTAATGGAAGAGGGGAGGGAAGTTTGATTACTTGTACTGTTGGCACAGTGAAGCTAATAGGTATTCTCCAGCAGTTCAAACTAAATCATTAAACTGTTCTTCTGCGGTGTCTGCTGGAGAACTAAACACCCATATGAAAAATGGAAGCTGAAAGCATTTGAATCTTATAAGTATGTATTGCTTCTGTTCCTTCATTGTCATTAAGGAGTTGTGCAGGGTATAGACAGTTTCAGTCTTCTTAGCTGCACTATTAGTAATGTAATTTGGACAAGAAATTTTTAAATGAAAAAAAACCTGAATACCGATAAAAGGATGGGGGAGAGGAAAATGAAGATGGAATAGTTTGAACAGGGAGGTGGACATAAATATAGTGTGAGGTTATCATTTTACATCTAGACCAGGGGTGGGCAATAATTTCTGAAGGGGGCCACTTCACAAATTTTGGAAGTGGTCGCAGGCTGCCCCAGAAGTGTGGAGTGTTGGGCAGAGGGGCGGGGCCTTGGGTGGGATGAGACTTTGTCTGTGGGCGGGGGTGCGCACAAAATCTCTTGTCTCTCAATTCCCACTCCCGCTCTGTCAGAGGCAGCAGTGCCTAAAGGACACTGCCGGCTGTTTTGAACAGCTGCTGGTTCCCTCTGGTGCTGCTCACTCCTGGTGGGGGGAGGAGACTTTGCACGCTCCCCCATCCCCAGGTCTCAATTTGGCCAGGGGGCAGGGGAGCGGCAGGCTGGATTGAAAGGCTTGGTGGGCCGAATCCAGCCCGCGCACCCTGTCTTGCCCACCCCTGATAGACTCTAGGGTGGTGTAGCGCAGAGCCAAGGCACCCTAGAAGAAACAGGGGAGGAATTAAGTCTCTGACAAGCAAGAGAATGATGACTGAGGCTGAGCCAAGGCTCTTCCCACTCCTGTGCCATGTGCCTGAATGCTTGCTGTCCCACACTATACCTGCACTTGCAACGTGGAGACACTTATGGGAGCGTGTGAGGTCTTACTGTCTTTACACCCCTAGGGCAGAGACATATTGAACATGGGGAGAGAAGGAGAGACCGTGAATGAATGACTTGAGGAAAGGAGGGAACCATAACAAAGGAAAGAAAAATCTATGTGTTGCCAAGAGGTGGGATAGGGTATGGATAATTCAGCTAAAACTGAAAAGTTGAGCATACTTTTACTTTGTACATTTTGTTACACCTCTCTTGTCCACTGTGGTCCTCCTGTAAATACACACAAATGCAGGTAGTTTTAGCATTTTTATTAGACGGTTATACTATTGTTTTAACTGCTTAAGATGTGTATTTGGGAACGAACAATTGTTCTCCAACTTGACAAATGTCCAGATAAGAATGAGATAACAGTATATTTAGTTGTATGTTTTCTGGAGTTTAAGCAACTACTGCTGCTTGTCTGTAAAAATGTGGGTGGACTATAGATGGTTTGGAATCTTCTGGAACTTGTAGGATGTCAAGATAGCAAAAGTGAAAAATCGACAGAGGGTGAGAGCAATAGGTATCTATATAAGAAAAGCCCCCAAATTTCAGGACTGCCCCTATAAAATCAGGACATCTGATCACCTTAGGAACTCAGGACTGCCCCTATAAAATCAGGACATATGATCACCTTAGGAATTTCATGAGGTCTATACTCTCTTTCATGATGAGACCAAGAAAATGCTTCCTCTAGATAATTCTGAAAATTAGAATGCGAGAAAACATATGACACACACATTTGTAAAGTTTCTGTGATGGTTCAAACTTCTCCTGATTCTTCTCTGTGTAATGGCTAAAAACCACTGCAGGTAATGTTGGGGTGAATGTCCTGAGGTCCAAAGTAACCTGTCATGTTGTTCTTGTTTGATTGTTTTAATTTTGGCATTGAGGTTTTCAGTAAAGGCTTTGTAAACTGTCTGCATTGTAAACTCATTTGTATATAGTGAATGCCTTCCTGTGTATCTAGTTGTCCAAGTTTGTTTATTACAAGTTCTACTTTTGAGGTACATTGTGGGACTGGAAGTGGGAAAAGTATGTTATGATTTGAGCTGCCAAGTTAAAGATTGGATCAGAGCTTCCCCAAAGTCTGAAGATGATGGTATCACTGGTATTACTTTGGCCCCTAAAGATAGAAGCCAACTGTGGAAACACATGCAGGTCACAGATTTTCAGAACTGGGATTCTATTTCAGTGCCATGTCTAATAAACAAGTGAATGTTTAAGATTTGAAAACCTTAGTGTATTTCAGTGTTTTCATGATCCTGACTGTGTATTATCTGAGTGCCACCCAAACATGACTGGATTAATCTAAAAACACCCATATATGTAAGAAATTAATTACCCTGCTAAACAGGTATTAGGAAAACATTTCTAACCTAAATCTACCTTGCTGCAGATTAAGCCCACTGCTACTGGTTCTACCATCAGCGGACTTAGAACACAAATGATAATTGTCTGCTTGTAAAGACTGCTTTCAGGTTTTCCTTCAGATTTCTTTTCATAAGATTAAACACATCCATTTTTAACCATTCCTCATAGGCCAAGTTTTCTAAACCTTTTATCATTTCCCCCCCCTCTCCTGTGGACTCTCCTTTGGTGGTACTTGTGATTAGATAGAGCGCTGTAGTTGAGACTTCACCAGTGCTGAACACAGCAAGACCGTTACCTTACATGTGACACTCCTGCTTATACTAAGTATGTTAAAATGCGATTATCTGGCTTATCGTATAGTCGATTCAATTTGCATTGACTGTACGATTAGTCGATAAATGCCGCTCTGCAGAGCTGCAGCAGGGTAGCTCCAGGAGCTGACTCGAGCCGGTTCTGAGCAGTCCCGACTCGTGCTGGCTCCAGAGTCACCTGCACTACAGCTCTGCATTTTAAATGTAGTAAGAGCCACTGGGCTCTTACTATATTTAAAATACAGAGGCACAGCGATCAGCACAAGCCAGGATTGCTTGCGCTGAGTCCAGCAGCCCCTGTTCGGAGTGTACAGCTCTCTCTGCTGCGAACAAGGGCTGGTGCAGGAGCAGCCACTGCCCGCGGCCATCCCTGGCTGCCGCGAACAGGGGTTGCTTGGCGGCAACAGTCCCTGTCTGCGGGGTGGCAGACAGCAGCATTCCCAATCCCCCCTGCTGCCTTTGATAGAGGCAGCAGTGGCGGCAGGCGGCACCCCAGAGACCGTGCTGGGGAGAGCCAGCTTTCAAGCTGGCTCCCCCCAGCACCAGCTCCTGTCCTGCCCCCCCTTGCTGCCTCTCATAGATTATGGGGGGCACTACAGAAAGCATGGGGCGAGCAGGGACTCCCTGCAGCACTTCTGTTTCTGTTCTGTTTCACATTTCAAAATCAGAAGCGCCCTCCGTGGAAACCAGCATGAGCGGAGACTCAAACAGTCCTCACTCGTGTTGTTTCCCACTGTGCCTCTGCCTCCCCTACTCCCTGTGGAGACCGTGCTAAGGGGAACTGGGTTAAAGCCAGTTCCCCCCAGCACTTGCTCCTGCTCCCCCCTTGCTGTCTATCTCTGATAGAGGCAGCAAAGTGGGGTGAAGTGACTAGTCAAGTTGTTATTCGACTATTTGATAAACTCCTTTTCAGCAGATCTGTTGTCTAGCAAGTTATTCCCCATTTTGTAGTTGTGCATTTGTTTTTTTTGTGTGCAAAGAGTAATATTTTGCACTTGTCTTTATAATATTTCATCTTACAGAACAGTTCTCCAATTTATCCAGGTCATTTTTAATTCTAATTGTGTCCTCTGCAGTGCTCGCAACTCTTCTCAAAATGGTGTCCTCCACAAACCTTACAAGCATAGTCTCCACTCCATTATTAAAGTCATTAATGAAAATAGTGAATAGTACTGAACCCTAGGACAAACGCCTCCACAACTCCACCAGAATGTCCATCTGTATGATACAGTCTGTCAACCAGTTTTGCATCCACTTTATAGTAATTTTGTCTACATTACATTTCCTTAGTTGTGTATGAGAATGCCAAGGGGGGACTGTGTCGATAGCCTTACTAAAATTAAGATAGATCATATCTACAGCTTCCTCTGTATGCTCAAGGCCAGTAACCCTGTCAAAGAAACAAATTAGGTTGGTTTGGCATGATTTGTTCTTGATGACAAAGCCATGTAAGCTATTCGTATAGCTGTTATCCTCTAACTGATAACATTAGCCCATAAACATTAGCTTATCAGTTAAACAGTGGCCCACACCCTAGGAGGTGGCTTCCTTGCTGCAGCGAAACCTCCCTGGAGCCAGGGCTGGCAGAGGCTGGTGGCCACACTCCTGGGAATGCTTCACTGTGGGCTCTGCAATAGGAAGCTCACTTAAGCTTTATAGTGCAGAGCCTGCGGAGCATGTCACCACTAAGATTTTTACCTTTTAAAATGACTTTTAACATCTCTAACTGTAAGGAGCCAGTGGGGCTAGCAGCCACTAGGAACCTGCAGCTGGCATCGCGTGGGGCCAGCAGGGCTGGTTAAAAAATACGGTTGTTTAACTGTGTAGCCAATTAAATTATTATTGGTTACACGGTTAGTATATTTACTCCTTTTTGCATCCATACTTTGGACCATATTGTCCCATTCCTCTATAGTGGACAGGAAAATCTCTAAGGTGCTGCCAGGGAGAATGTCCAACGTCTTTCTCTAGAAGCCCCTTCCGCAAAGTGATTGAGGGGGTCAGGCCCAAATTCAGTGTACTGGTTGAAATTGTGTCGGGAGCTCTGAGAAGTCCTTGTGCCTTTTCACACAGTCTCCATCTTACCTCTGGGGAATCTTGCTGCATTTGGTGAAAGTAGCAGAAGGGGGTAAGTTTTCACGGCAGCTCTCTCTGGCCAGTAATCACTAGTCTGGACTGATTGTTCTTGTCTTCCTCACCTCAAGAAATTTTAATCCATCAGCAGCATGCAAGATATTGCAAACTAAATAGCTTTTTCGTTTGAATAATGCAGTAAGAAAATGGGCAAGAATTGC